TTTTTTTTGTCGTAATGTAGTGCCTCTGAATAAAACTACAGCCCTGTAGAGTTCAGCTCCATGTCTAATCAAACACACCTGAAGTTCATTTATCTGAATAAACTGCAACTCTGCCAAAGAAATCGATGATATCTACAGATAATACCGGCTTTGAGATCGAGAATGCCATAATAAGTGCATAATTATCATATACTGTTTTTGTATATTCACTATTATACGTTAATACAGCGCATGACAGAATTTAAAACGCAGTTCGTGGTCAAACTCTGCCCTCTTGTGGCGGCGACTGAGAAACGCAGTTGCCAGATTTTTTAATAGTTTTAAATTAAATTTAAATATTTCTAAACTTGATTGGGTAAATGTATGAAAAAAGGACTGGTGGATTTATAAACACCTGCCAATGCTCAGCTATATTTACTGCTGATTTGAAGAGAAATTAAATGAAAACGGATTTCAAAAGAGCAAACTAATCAAACTCCATAGCTACTTCTTTAGCAGAGTAATAGTCTTATATTACACTTACCATTGTTAGCTTTAAAGCCCATTAGGCATTAGAATATTTTGCACTGTGACATTACAATTATGCATCCTCCACACAAAAACCCATTGTAAAATGAAAAAAAAGAAAATATTCTCAATGATCAGATTATTGCTGCATATTGAAAGTGACTAAAATTTATAATCAGCAACAAAAAAAAAAAATTATTATTATTTTTTTTTTAATCACATGCTATGTCACAAACATCACAGTGCAATTTCTTTGGTCCTGAAAAAAGTTTTGCTGCAAAATTTCCCCCTTTATGATTATAAGGTGACCCAGAGATATTCTTTAAGGATCTGACCAATCTGTCCAGGACTTCGAGTCAATTAAAAACCATGCAACAACAAGACTTGATTTTCTCCACTTTTATTTGTCTGTAATGTCAAAAGCACAAACATACACTTTAAAAGAAAGTGTTTGGTCTCTTGGTGGTGAAACGGGGCTTGTGCTGGCGGCGCAGAACCCTGTGAGGAAGAGGGAACTTGATCTTGGAGTCCTGTTGAATCGAGAAACAACATGAAAGCCTTTAGATGCAAGTTTAAACAGCTCGGTTATAATGGTTGCATCAATGTGCATTTGATGAAAGATTCTCATAAGCATCATTTGAACATGCAAACTCACATGGAACTGCTTGATGGCGGGTCTGCGGCATTTGTTGGCTGCGATGATCTGCACCTTCATGATCTGGATGGCGTGAGCGCGGGCGCGATGCCTGGCACCCATATCACGATCTGAAGCACAAATCAAATACGTGACATTTACTATAGAGTTAAAACACAGAGCAGCATCTCGTGCAGCAGGGTCACATGTCGCACCTTGATTTCACTTTCAGCGGCACGTTTGACAGC